ATCATTTTATTTATAAATATACCCCATGTGTCAATCATGCTCTTTTTCTTGGGATCCTCCCCCCTGACGTCGATAGGGGGCGTGATTCCGGGTCGCTTCAACGCATCGAGCGGTGATTGGTCGGTTCGACCCACGAGGCACGAGGCAGCCAATCACAGCAGAATGCGCAGAGTTAAAAAAAAAAAAAAAGGAAGCGACGACGAAGAAGCGAGTTGAGGATCTGAGCCGAGAGCACGAGCGGCGATGACGTGACGCGTGGACGCAGCCGTGCGGCGGGGCTCGAACACGGAGCACCGGCGGATGTGTGGCCCCGCGCGGCCGTGTGAGCTGTGTGTGCGGGCGGACCGTGACGCTGAGCCGCGGGGAGGGGGAGCGGACGGACCGAGGCACCGGAGCGTCGCCAGTCTCCCGGTGACCGCGTTACACAACCGGAGGCTCCGTTAAGACACACACACACACACACACACACACACACACACACACGCACGCACACGCACACACGCACACGCACGCACACAGGAGCCATCTTTCTCTGCAGCGAGCGTCAGATTTACTGAAACGTCCGCGGCTACTTGTAGATCTGAGCTCGTGGCCGCCATTGTTTCCCATCCTGCTCCACTTCAGACTCTAAGTTATATATAAAAACACATAAATATATAAAGAGCGGTGTTGTGTTCCTGCTGTGACGTGTCCTCTGTTTTAATCCACTTTACAAATGTTAGCATCTTCATTTAACTCCCCCCCCCCCCCCCCCCCCCCCCCCCCCCCACGTCACGCGCATCACTTCCTTGTTTACCTTTTGCCTCAGAGAAATCCTGACCTGTGATTGGCTGACAGGTGTCCGTTATGCATCGTGCGGTGTGTCTGTGATTGTCAGTGAATGGGAGCTCACGTTGTCGCTGCGGTACGATGGTATCTAACCGTCATCGTGCTGGCAGTGATGATGATTATCGTCGTTCTCTTAAGTTATTACCTGTATATTTGTATCTCACATGAGGTTTCCGCTGTTCTCTGTTCTACTTTTAACGATGGCGTCTTCACTTAGCCGCAGTTACACATCACTCCCTTGTTTTTACTACAGCAAAATACTGATCTCCGATTGGCTGGCAGGCGTGCGTGAAAATCAGAACATATTGTGCACGGACTCAAAATGAATGAACGCTAGCTAGCACGAGCTCGTATGGATCAATTCATCAATTGACATGAAATACCTGCTTGTGCTCTTGCAGCCTCAGCGTCTTACCTCTCTCCCATTAGGTCCTTGTTCACCTTTGCTAATAATAAAACACTGGCTTCTGATTGGCTGTTAGGTGTCCGTTAAAACCAGCCGCCATCATGAACGTGGGCACGGCGCACAGCGAGGTGAACCCCAACACCCGAGTGATGAACAGCAGGGGCATGTGGCTGTCGTACGTCCTGGGCATCGGCCTCCTGCACATCATCCTGCTCAGCATTCCCTTCGCCAGCGTACCCGTGGTCTGGACTCTCACCAATCTCATCCACAATCTGGTCAGTGGAGCAGAAAACACACACACACACACACATGCACCCCCACCACGGTTCGCTTCAACGTTTCCTGAACATGTCCGGTCAGTGAAGGAAACACAGAGCAGGGCTGGCTGAGTGAAAGAGTTTTGGGATTTGGTGACTGAAAGAAACTTTACAGTGGAGTTGGTTGGTAACAAATCTCTGTGTCACTGCTCTAAGAAAAGTTTACTTGTCAGTAATGTTTCCTTCATTTTTTTTTTTTACATTTCCAGAGTTCAGGAATGACTCAGTCCGGTTTCATAAACTTTGGTTATTCAGAACTCTCTGTTTGGCTCTGAGGCTACACCCACACCAGCACGTTTCAGTTAAACACATCATGGTTGCTTTCGGAGACAGAGATCACTTTGCTTCCTGACACGACCAAACCTTTAACCACTTTTCTCTTCCTGAATGATTCTGCTCCTGAAACAACAAGTGGTATTAGTCATTCATCAGTGTATTTGCAGCCTCTTCTTTCCGTCCCTGACTGTCTCTTGTGTCCCTTCCCTGTTGCAGTGCATGTATCTGCTACTGCACACGGTCAAAGGGACGCCCTTCGAGACCCCCGATCAGGGCAAGGCTCGCCTCCTCACGCACTGGGAGCAGATGGACTACGGCATACAGTTCACCGCGTCGCGCAAGTTCCTCACCATCACGCCCATTGTCCTGTAAGTCCAGTCACCTTTATTTTTCTTCACCTTGAATTTTATGTTTCATCTCTGAACACCATGTCCTCCTGTTAGCTCTACATTTGAGTTTATTGATCTACATCTCGTCTGCTCTGTTATTATCAACCACCCTCTGCTGGGTCAGGGGCTCGGCATTTGCAGCAGCAGCTCTCGCTGTGTCCGCTCTGTTCTCATTAACCTGCAGAGTTCAGCTTACAGGAAGCACTCGGGCTCCCTGCTGCTGATTTGCCAGCTCAGACCGAACATTGTGGTGATAGCAGTTTTGCAGGTGTACTCTTTCTTTCTCTCCCCCTCCCCTCGACTCTTAGACATTTTGTTTCACAGCTGTTTCCAGCAGGAAGAGACAAGTGGTCAGTCTCAAGGCTCCAGATGGAAAAAAACAAAGATTCCTTTGGGATCTTTCCTTTTATTTCCTCCCTTGTTCAGCAGAGAGCAGGATGTGCAGCTCCTCATTCTAAACTCACACAAATCCTGTCCCCAGCTTGTTGTTTTGGTTTGTGCAGGGAACTGCCTTTATGAACATTTGTGAATGTTCAAAATACAAGTAGAAGTACCTCACCAGTTATTATCTTGTGAAAGTTACAAACACAATCTAATTTCCCCTGTAAAACCCCCTCCATCTTTTTCAGAGGTTCGCTCTGTAACTTCCTCTTCTTTTGATTCATCCCATCCAGGTATATTCTAACCAGCTTCTACACCAAATACGACCGGATCCATTTTGTGGTCAACACAGTTTCCTTGCTCACTGTCCTCATCCCTAAGCTGCCGCAGCTCCACGGCGTGAGGATCTTTGGGATTAATAAGTACTGACAAGGCAGAAGAGGACACCTCCTTCCTCGAGTCCCCACAGACCTGCTGAGAGCAGGCAGAGTCTCAGGCCTGTGATTTGGCTGCGGATCCACGAGGATGTGTTGCTCTTTGGCTCCAGACTCTAAATGAAGCCCGCTGGGACGCTGCCATGGCTCCAAACCCCAGGAAAGAGACAAAGTTCTTTACAGAGAAGAAAGGGAAAGTGGACTGATGTGACTGTTTGAGGCCTGTCGCCTTTTTACAAGTTTTCCACAGACACTTAAAAGCATTTGTAAAGAGGAATTCTATATTATATTATGTCCATTTCTGTAGAGATGACAGTTTTTAGATGTGAGAGGTGTCAGAGGTAAAGGACGATGTTGTGACATTGTACACCGATCGGTCCCTTAGACAGTAATCCGAGTATTTTTAGTTAATGCTACACTGCTGTGTTCGTTCAGCCTCCCGTCCCATGTTGAGCTTCCTCTTTCTCGAGGTTTCTGGGCTCAGTGGAGAGTAACCATAGCGTCACGACGTGGTGAGGGAACTGTGAACAACTTCGGAGGCGAGACACGAGAAACCGCAGCGTTTTATATTTAGCCCTCGCTGCTCCGCTCAGGGCCAAGGAGTTAAGTTAAGCAACTCTTATTTTATCTGACCGTGTCCACATTTGGACTCCTCTTGTGTCACAGCGCGCCTGCAGTCTGCGGAGTCGTCTGGACTGAGAGCAGAAAATATGCACGAGAGCTCTGCACTGATCCAACGTAACAGCCTGAGGGAAGGGTCAAGTTTTCCTGTCATAACTTTACTCATAGTTAGGTTCCTCTGTGGGGACACATGCTTACAACTGCTCTGTGACAGTACTCAGGTCCCATTACACTGACATGATCGTGGTATGTCTGCATCTCATTTTCATACCTGCATTTAAATTAGTTACCAGTTTGTTAGGTACACACGAGCAGCCGTGGGTACAGCAAGTGTTTTTAATATTTTATGACGTCGCTCTTAAAGATGAAATATATTTACAGAATACTTACAAAAACATGAACAATGAATCAACGCTACATGAATCTAGTAGGGGACACCCAGCTCTCTGTAAACCTGTGAACCATCGACCAGATAACGATGGTCGACATGACAATGAAGCCAAAGCAGCTAGATCGCCCCCTGGTGACTGGCTGCAGTATAGGTCGTAAAATAAAGTTATTATTATAATTTTTGGTAGTTCTTATCACATTGATGGATGTTTAAGTGTTATTATTAAATTACTGGTTTGATGCTTTAAAATTGGAGTGAAATCATTTTTATCAAAACTCATTTGATCCACAGTTAATGTCAAAAGTATTGATTAATGCAGCTTTAACGTTCTTCCCTCTTCCTTTAGGAAAATAGTTGGAAAGAGACTTTGGTTTTAGTTTTGTCCATAAAGTAATAACAAGTTAAACCTTTATCTTTTAAGAACAAATCTAAATACAAAATACATATTTCCATTAGAATGATTGCGTACGATCTTATATCATAGTCTCCTCTTGAATTATTCTATAATGTGAAGTAGTGATATTAACATGTAGGGGGCGTCACTCGCTGGTTTAACAGGGTTTTGATTATTCAGTCACAATCAGGCAAAACTGTTAAATCTTCAGATAAACACGTGAAACCATCTTTAGTTAAGGTAAAGAAAATAGATCATAGCAGAATTCATGTTTTACTCGTTGTTGAATTGAGTCAAATTTGATTTTTCCACAATATTTGTTTACGTTTCTGTTCCTGTTTTTTAAAACGAGATCTCGATGAAACACATGAAACTGTGTTGACAACGCAGCAGATGCACAAACGTTAATAGACACATGCAGCTGTAGCAGTGACAACACTAGTTTCTGCTTCCACAGTTTCAGTTCAATTTAATTATTGTGATTCTCACTTGCTGAAACCAAAACTGTTGCACTCACTTGTTTCCTTCAGCTGACTCACGTGTTGAATCATTTTAGAATCGATACAACCACTGACGAGCGAGGACCAAAGATCCAGACAATTGAGGAGGTTGTAAATACTATCGTTTCTCTGCTGCAGCGTTTATTTCTCCATCATGATGTTTTCAAATGTCATAATCAGCAGTAAGGGCTTTTTACTCCAGGACATGCCATGAGGTGTTGTAGCACAAAGTGTCCATCAGTTTTTTTTTTTTTTACTGGACTGTTGAAGACAACAGCTGCAGAAGAACGGTTGAACTGTTCTGCTCGTGGTTTCTGTTTGTTGGTAACAGAAAGGAAATGTCAGTGGGATGTTCTGTAAGAGTGTCTGACCCAAAATACAGTATTTTTTAAGTATCATCTCACATTTCTTTGTTGTTTCCTGAGTGTGTGTCCGAACTGTTCAGCAGCAGTGTTTTCTTTGGGCTTTTTAACTTTGCAGCGGGAAAGAAACAGCATCATATGTTTAAATCTAAACCCAGTGTGAAAGATTGGAAGAATGACTGTTAATATGAAACAGGAACAGGTTTCTGGTGCGCTGCCATGTCTCCATGAGTCAGTGACTTCTTTTGATTTGTAGCGTTTAGTTGAGCTCATGTTCCGAGGTTCAGACCACTCTTTTTTTTTCTTTTTTTTTTTTAAACGTGTCATAACAGTCAATCCCTTTATTGAAGTGGATTTTTATTACTTCCAGAGCTACTTGCTCAGAGGATACTGTGAAGGAAATGTACCAAACTACAGAGGAAGGTTTGGCTGAAGACTACTCTGTTTAATTTGTCTGGAATGATGGTGTAGGTTTGCAGTTCAACTTTTTTACTTTATTTATGTCTATGTTCAGTTTGCAAATTGTCTAACACTAAAAGTAGAGCGCACACCTCCACCAAGGCCTAACACTCACACTACATTAAATGTGACTGTTTAATGACACTCACAGATCAGTCCCTTAAATTGATCCTGATTTTCTTCATCTAGATCAATGAATTATTTCCTGAGAAATCACTGCAAACGTCTAAACACACTTTGTTTCACAATGATGAAGAAAGAAATCTTCTGCAGACGAAAGTAATGATGAGGTGAGCAAGAACAGTGTTCCAGTCACTATCCCACTGATGAAATGATACTGTTGCCAAGGTGACAAGGATAAATGGTAACTCCAATTAAATTCTTTAATGAAATACATTTCAAACCTTCCCCTCTAGTTACTTGTGCACAAACCTTGTAGTTTCAGTTTCTATTGACGTCTCATGAGCGTTAAGAGGCCGATACCTGAATGTGACTTCATGGTCCAGTGGTTAAAGTTTGACTCATGTGATGCACAGTAATTCATGTGCAGTACAACAACACACGGTTCACATTATTCTTCATCAAAGTTAAATATACAGATTTTGTAGCAGATACACAAAAAACTTAAAATATAAATATATATTAGCTTTATTTTTGAACCACAGCAACGGCTACAATGCTCTTTCTCCACTAGAGGGCAGCAAATGGTTGTTTTTGACTCTAATCTTAAACGAGGCGCAGCCTATAAATAGGAATAAAGAAAAGAAGAGACTGTCAGTCGTCTCCTCTCGTCCTTTTGTCCAGAGGCTTTTCTCGTATGTGCTCACTCTCTCATTACGCAGATCTACGGTTTCATGCAAATAACATTTCTTTTTCCTTTGCTATTTGCTTTCTATGAAAGAGTCTTGACTTTGCGCAACAGTAAACACATGACCCATAAAAGTCAGCAGTTGCAGAGTGAGCTGAATATATGACTCTCAAGTACAGACGGGGAGCAAGTGTTCTGTTCGCTCATTTATTCAGATGTGTCCACAGAAGCTCATGAAGTGTTTGAGCTGCAGCATGTGTGCAGAACTTTATATTCAGTCGTTGGTGCAGAGGAACGAAGTCTGAGACGATTTTACCGTTCATATGAAACTGGTCTCACACTGGTTCGATCTATATTATAGTTTAATGAGCAGCAAAAGAAAAACAACTCTGTTAGTCTCTCTAATATGAGTCCAACGCAAGTATCAGCTGGACTATTCAGAACTTTCCCTACAGCCCTGTGGTTTTACGTCTCCCAGCAGCCACTGCCATTTCATTCTACAGACACATTTTTTTCCTCCAAGCCTCGTACGGAGGTCACAGGGACCTGGTCAATATTTTAAGAATTTCCCCGAAGGTCAGACTTGAGATGTCAAGTTCGAGAGGCCAAACAATCCCTCGAGCTGATCCTGAGATTTTCACAAGACCAAAAACGTGTTTGGAAGGGTCACAGAGACGTCGTTGACCTTTGTGCTTTTTGACATCATAGCGATTTTTGACCGTTAAAATCGAATCAGTTCATTCTTCAGTCCAACTGAATGTTTGCACCAAATCTGAAGACATGTCCTCTCAGTGTTCTTGATGAATCGTGTTCACAAGGGACGGACAGACAACCCGAAACACACAATGTGTTAAACGCTCGGAGGAAAGAACCACTGACGTCTCCTTTAATTCTTATGAGCCCTGACTTTAATTATCAGCGTTGATCTAACGTGTTGTTTTGTATTTTCTCTCGTCATATGAAATGTCTGTGCGTCGTCTTTCCTCTCTGAGAAAAACACGATCACTCGGCAGCCACGCAGCCGACATCTTTCCTGCAGGAACGCGGCGGGAGAACATGTGGCGGTGCCATCTTCTCAGATTGAGCATTTGACATACGCAGGCCCCATGTTGCGCGGCTCCAGCTGCGTGCGCTCTGTTTTCACGCGGATGTGACAGCATCCGGGACGAGATAAAACGCAACAAAACCATCCGTCCGCTCCGCAGTCGTCTGCTGTGACACCGACACAGTTCAAACTGATGATAACGAGTCTGGTCCCGAGAGCTGTTTACCGGGGAAGACGAGAGGTGCCACAGTTTGGAGGAGGGGTCGACTATAAATAGAGCCAAACAAGAATTAGATCAATTAATTATGAGCTCTCGCTGCCCTGAGGGGTCTGTGAACTAACTGGGAAATCCAAGGGCAGGGCTGATGACAGGAGACAGTGGCCCCTCCGAGCGACTGAGCTGTCAGTGAAATGCACTGTGGGGCTTCCAGAGAGCGCCTGAGGCCTCTCTTAAGGTCAGTCTGCTGCTTCAAGAGCTTGCTCCGACAAACACAGTCAAAGTATTTGTGCTGTTTCGAGCCTTTAACGGAGGAGATGGTGGAAATAGAAATAGATGTTGTGTGTTCATTTCAATCTCTTCTCTGAATTGCTTCACTAACATTAGCATTTAAATCTGTTTTTTATTTTTATTTTTTTTTTGCTTCTCTCCGGTGGCCGAGGTTATCTCCGTGTGGAACGGTCACTTTGTCCAGTTCATTAAAATTATAATTTTTTTTTTCCCAAGCTAATCTGCAAATGTAGGCCTCTTAGTGAACTTGATAAAATAGAAAATAAAAGAGAGGAGGTGGAATTCTGCACAAAACAAAACACAGATACACGACGAGGCAAATAAGACTTTTTCATTTCCTTTAATAAAATAGATACAGAGGAAATCATATGTAAACTGCTTTGTAAAATGATGCAGATTTAATGAGAGAGGTCAGAATCATCATCTTTAATAACAAAGCAAACGTTGAATCTTTTATGTCATTATCTCTCTGGACACACTCTCGTCCTGTGGGTTAGGACGTGTGGACATCCTGCGGGGTGAAACCCAGGGCAGGAAATCTCCAGCAACTACTCACTGCCGCTCATTTGGCTTTTTACTGTTGTGTTTAAACTCCACACATCATTTTTTTTTCAATCGATTGAGAGACTGTGACATGTGAATCGGGGGGAAATTGGATTTTGAAAAGTGACTCTATGTCCATCGGGGGGTTGAGATCATCGCACCACTGTGGTCCAACCGTTGGTCTGGGATAATTCCTGGGAAATAAAAGGTTTTAAGCTCCACGTGTCATGAACGTACTATGGTTTAAAGACGCTCAGACTCTGGTTTCAAATATTGTAACGTTAAATATTTATGACAAAATAAACCATGGACTGCATCTCAAATGCCCCCTGCTGGCTGGCTGCAGTAAAGGTCATAAACCCTGACTCCTCCATGTTAGTATATTGGACCAATCGACCAAATTGAAAAGTTACAGACAAAGTAGATTAAATGTTTCTCAAACATGCTTTCGGTCCTTTTAGTTAGTTCTTATCACATTGATGTAGGTTCAGGTTCGGTTTTCATTCGTTATTTGATGATGTAAAATGTCATGATTGACAGCTGAGGCTAACTTGCGATTGGTCGAGTGCATGTATGGGTGGGACTGTGGCAATCTCTCCAGATGAGGTGCATGGAAAACTTTCTGGACGTAATTGTGTGGAGTTCCTCCGCAGGCCATCTCTGAAAATGTCTTATCGGCGTCAATACTCCCAGGACTGTTTGCACGACAGATTAAAGTCTCTTAGAAGTCGCCTCGTGAGGCCTTAAAATTACAACAATGATAAAATGTCAGGGTGTGCTGGTGCACTTTATGGGAAAACTCAACACTGCAACTAGAAACAACCGAAAATGAGTAAAACTGGAATAAAAGCATCAGATCCAGAGAACTGGAAGAGTTTGAACGTGTTTGACTTGAGTCTGAGAAGCACTTTGGAGATTCTGCAGACGACACAGTGCAGCGGGCGACACGCTGAGATACAGCACAGCTTTTAAGAATGAGCTGTCTTCCCAGGGGCGGGGCATTAAGCCAGCTCATAAAACCAGATCTATCACAGACAGGTCCCATGAATATTCATAAACTGCTCTTGTTTTACATTATTAACACGCTCATTCCACTCGCTAATAAGATTCATGACCGCTCTGTGACAGTTTAAAACCGGCGGAATAAAATGTTCTGGTCACCGCGGCGATGCTGCATATATACACTGAGAAAATGCTCCAGAAACTCAGTCATAAATAAAACACAGAAGAAGACACAGACCTAATTAGCTTTCACTTCGCTGCAGTTTAGCTCTGCACTGCTGGGTATTAAGCCATGACTGAATCTGAGCAGTCTTAATTAATTACCAAGGGCTTACTGAGCATTTTGTGCTGGCTTTGTGTTATTTTTCATATGTTTTGTTGTTGTTTCATTTTCCCTCTTCAAGGACTTTGGGCTCCGTTGTTTTCCAGCAGTGTTTGTCTGTGGATGTGTGTGTGTGTGTGGGGGGGGGGGGGGGGGGGGTGCTAGCAGGGGCCCCTGTGCCGTTTTTTATTATTATCTCACTCTGTGTGAGCGCAGGGGGTGAAGACAGGAGGACACCTCAGGGAGGAGACGACGGCGAGGAGACAGTGGGACAGTGTGTGTGTGTGTGTGTGTGGGGACTGGGACTTTCCTCGATTTCTAAAACGCTTTCGAGATCGAGGGAAAACAGAGAAATTAATATATCTTTAAGCTTTTGTTTCTAAAACTGCACATGTGAAGTGAGTGTGGTTGGTTTATAGACCGTATAAAAAGATGGACGACATGACAGCTCCTAGAAAGTGAAGCCAAAGCATCTTGATCGCCTCCTGGTGGAGGACATGCAGGGTCTGCAAGGTGTTTAACAAAATCTTAAAATCCTAAAACATATGTGATTTGACTGAGCCCACAGTTAAACAATATTTTCAAGGTTTTTTTAACGTGAAGAGTTGCAACCATGTGTATTTTCTGCATCTCTACAATTTTAAAATGTGTTAAAAACATTTCTGAGTTGATAAAAACAAGTTCAGACAAGCTCTGAAAAACCGCTCCTCCGACCAGCAACGGTCCAATCACAGCTTAGAAACCGTAACCAGGCACGGACCCTCCTGTTGAATATTTCCCGTCGTGTATTAAAAGCTTTGTGGAGCGCTCGGATGCTGCCGTGTTTTGTTTTGCTCCAGAAAAACCAAAAGCTCGACCACAGAAAGGATTAGTCAGTGAGTCTGCGCCGGCGTAAGCCACAATCACAAGCATGTGTTGCTAACTAACGTCCCACAAACAGGGTCAAAGAGTGCATACTGTATGTACACTGCAATTACACGTATATTTATGGGCTTATAGATTAAGTGAGACTGTTAATGAGCAGCACATCCAGTGGGAAATTTATATTTATACGCCAACAAACCTGGCGACCATCACTTTGCTTTTGTTTCGTACGTGAGTTAATCAAAACCTTTCTCCTGTGTCGTTAAAACACTCTGATTGTCAGTTTTCATTTCAATTCTCACGTTACAATATATGTTATGCAGGAATGTAATAAAAAGAACAATGCTGCGGTCGTATCTTCGACACACATCCTCATCCAGGCTGCGTCTCTGCGCAGCTTTACCCTCATGATATCATGCTGAAAGACTCTTTTTACAGGGTGGTTTTAAAACGAATCAGCTGGAAACTGTAAAAAGTCTCCCGTAGACAGCGCTGGAGCTGACATGAGCCCCTTACAGATATTTTGCAGATTAAATATCCTTAAATCAAATTATTTTTGGACCAAACGTAAAGCAAAACAGTGGATTTGGTCCCCCCCCCCCCCCCCGAATTACATATTGCTTTTAAAGAGCGTTCAGCAGGATCAGATTTACAGAAGAAATCATTTTCAAAGAGTCGAATTAATAAAATAAAGTTGGTAAATTCTTTGCTGTGTGTCTCCTGACATCACTACTTCTGGCTCCGGCAGGGACTGGAGTGCTCCACCGCTGGAATTCAAACCTGTGAGTGCTCCTCTCACCCTCAGACTCTCGTCTCGAGTGCCCTTGGAAGAATACGGAAATTTTCATCTACTACCACAATCACATTACCCTCCCACCACTCTGAGCCTGCTCAGGGATGAAAGCCTCTCATCAGGCATCACAGCATCATGGAGGTGTTAGTAAAACATACGACACACACACACAAACACGGGTGACGCACACGTGTCGCTCAGACTGACATGCTTGTATCCGTCTGACCTTAACGTCTTTCTAATCGAAAGACGTTAAGGTCATTCTGGTGGGTCATTCTGCTGCTGAACGGATAATACCGATTATTGATTCCGTATTTGTTTTTCAGTTTGGAGCATTTCTCTGCAGTGAAGTTTTTTTTAAACATGCATGAATATGGAGATGTGTGCAGTTCAAACGGAAGTGCAAAGATAAAACAGACATTTTAACTCACGGCCACTGTGATGACCTCAGCAGTAATTATTGAAAATATTCTCCGAAGTATGAATAAGAATGTTCTCCATCCGTCCGTTTGCTTATCCCACTGAGGGTCGCAGGGGACGAGACCATGACTGTAAAGTTGGAAAGTCGTTATCTGACGACTGATGTCTCAACAACTGCTCAGAGATTCATCACGGCTCAAATGCTTTTCACTATTGGCTCAGTCGCAGCAAAATATCGAGGCCATTTGTCAGCCGGCTGTTTGAGACCCGTTAACTTTTGGAGGAGGACAACGAGCAGCGCCGCGTGATTTGGGATTTCTTTCAGATCCGAGGGAGCAGATTGAACCCAGGACTGCAGAGTGAAGATGAAGAGGCACTGTCAGGAACCAAAGTGCAACGTGTAGAAGCGGCACAGAATGTGAAAGAAGCTGATGCCGAACAATTTTGTGACCATTTGGATAAAATGGCAGATGAGCGTGACAGGTGTTTATGAAGAAATGCATGAGACGGAGGACACTGTCAAAGTCATCACGGCTGCCTCTCTTCCCGCTGACGCTGACACTGTATCTGTCAGGCTGCAGGCTGCACTTTTCTCACCATATGCTGTGGACACGGAAATAATTGAACTGCAAAGTGGCACCATGAGCTAAAGGTCAGAGCCTGATTTGGCTCCACTTATCTCGAGGGAGATGGCCTTTTAAAGATGAAAATTATCAAAACAAATCACAGGCGCCGCACAGACCGTGTGAGACGAGGTGTCTTCAGCAGTTTACATGTAAACTGTGGTGCAAAGTATCTGACTACATGTATTATAATGGTTTTAATGCATTTTAAACCTCAGCTTAGTCTGGACTCCAGTTTTATTACAAAGCCATTAACTCCCTATACAGAAATCTATGGTCTTCCAACCAACACTTGGGCTGATGACAACCTTTGACCTGTTTTTAAATCACTGGTTAAAACATTCATATTTTCTTTTCTTATCTTTCTTATTTTGGTTTTGTTCTGTGTTATTCTCGTCATCATTAGACTTTGTTTATTCTCATCACAGGCTCATTTGCACCTCACCAAATAAATTGAACTTGATTCAGACTGATGATAACAAATACAGATCGCGTGTTAAGTATAGGCCTATAACACTGTGTATTCTTTACCTATATAATTATTCAATGGCTTTAAATGCATTACTTTTACTTGTAACAGGATATTTTTTATACATTGGGTTGTTGCTAATTTTACCAAATTAAAAGGTAACTCATATGTCCCACAGATGTAACGAACAGCGAACGCACCGGCAGAGCCACGTGGTGTGTGAGGTGCGTCTAAGCCCCGCCCTGCTGCTTCCTGTAGGTGTGTCCTGTGAGTTGAAGCCTCTGCAGTGACTGGAGGTGATGTAGCTTAGCATTTCTAGCATTTAGCCTGGACTCAGCTCCTCTGCAGTTTGAAGTGTGGACGTGTTGCAGGAGGACGTGATCTGTGGAGGGAGGAGTCACAGGTCTGGTCAAACTGCAGGACGAAGTCTCACCTGAGGAAACATGGCGTCTGCTCAGGTAACAAACGACTTCAGCTGCCGGAGACACGAGCTCAACACGACGTGTTGATCTTCTCTCTGCAGGGACCCGACCAACGAATAGTTCTATAATTAACTCTACGCTTCTTTTTTTTGTTTCTTTTATTGCAATTTACTTATTTTTATAATCGTTTTCTCCAAAAATCTGTATATTATTCTACTAAAATCAACAATATTTGTAATTTCCCCCTCAATCATAACCATACAACAGAATCCCACATGTATATTTTCCAACCCGTCAGTTTTGTAAAGAAACATTCCTATTAACTCCCCCGAAGCAGATCCTGGGACTCGGCCAGAGTGTTTTGTGGTTTTGCACATTTATTTAAAATGACAGCTTATATCTGACGGTTATTAACAGCAATGCGTCCCTAGTTTAGGATGTTTTACACAGCTTGAACATGCACATCTCTCCGAGCGGCCTCGGTTATTAGACACAGCAGGAGCTCTGTGCTCAGGAGGGGAATCTGAGAGATAGACGGAGAAATGGAGCCTGTGACCAGAATATTACGGTTCATAAAATGAGATTAGAATATAACTCTACTCTCCGCTGCCAAACCTCCAGGCCTGAGAGCCACCTTTAATGTTTCACACCTGGATCTGGTTTATAATGACTACTACTGTCTAATCATAGTTTAATGAAATATGCTATATATAGTGTATATACGTGGTCACTGCACGGCAGCAGTAAACACTGAGCGATGCCAACGTGACCTTATGTGGACTGTACTCCGAGATAGATCTCAGTCTCTCTGGCTGATGGGATCATCCCGGTGGAAACTGACCTGGTGCCAGTTCTTTTTGTTTTTTGTTTTTTTTAATTCTGTGGGTCCTTTGGAAAACTGCAAGACGCCTCTAAAACCATATGTGTCTGCTGTGGAAAAAACATTATATATAAATATATATACGTTGAAGTTTTTAAAGGTTTGATGGTAAATGATGCTGCAGAAATCTCTTGGTTCACACATTCGTACATGAGATAAACTGGACGAAGACTCCGGGTGAGGAAAGTGAAGCCTGAAACCTTTATTCTCTCAATCCACCAGCTTTTTTTAAAAAGAAGTAAGTTTCTATATAGAAACCTTTGAGAAAATGATTCTGCTTCTCACTGGATTTATAACGTCAGTAAACATTTTCATTAAAGGAGTTTATGGTCTTCAGCACAGCAGGAAGTTCACGTTGTAAATTATCGTCCATTTAGAGTCAAACAGACTATAAAGCACCGGATGAATGTGATTGACAGCTAGCACCGTGCAGGGAGCAGGAATAACTACTGGACTCTGGACAAAGAAACACAGTTAAATCTTTCTTCAGTTAATTGAAAAACTATATTTGAATGTTTGAATTGTCTCTTTTCTGGATATTTCCTATGACGTCTGGTCACAGAACCAGCGCTAGATCTCTGGTATGAGAAAGTAAATAAAGATGGATGACGCGTCCGTCTCCTTCCTCCGGCTGAAGCTAAAATATCCGAACACAACCTCGTTATCAGACGCTGCTGCTTGTTTCTTTTCCCTCTGCACTAACCAGCAGGGGCAGAATATGATCTAGTGTCTCGCTCAGAAGATCATTTCAGTGCTCTCTCCACTCATCGAGGAAATAAACATGGAAGCGATCGATGGATCCGTTTCTCTTGTCTCTGTCCCATCGATCGGGGCAAACAGCTCCTGGTGGTATTGATTGGTCAGCGCTGCAGTCCCGGACCTTCTAGCCAACAGGTGCAGCGAGAGTTGATGTTTCCCTGTTTTTAGTGTAACTGCAGTTTTATTTTATCCAGGAGACACGTGAGTAAGAGACGTTTCACATCTGCTCTTTAGATTTTATGGCCGTGAATCACGACGGCAGGTTCAGCGACGGCTTCTAGTGTCTGACCTCAAAGTCAATGTCTCCCCGTGGGGAGCTCGACCCCGTCCTTTATGGATCATCAGACCCACAACTCTCTGTTTCAATAATTCATAGGTGATCGCATGTAAATGACGAGCGAGGTAAGTCACCCCGGACGAATCTGGTGCTGCGATGAATAATGTAGACGGCAGCGAGATCCCAGGACACCAGACAGAGCTCTCCCGCCGTCCATTCCCTCCATTTCATGTTCAGTTGGTCTCTCATCCATTCCCCCTGTTTACTCTGACTTTATGTATCATCACGCTCTTCTTCCTCCTCCTCTTCCTCCTGCTATTGTTTGTTCTCCACCTCACCATCATCCATTTCAACTTTTCCCAGTGCCTCTGCCTCTTTGTCAAGCTCCTTTCTCCCCCTGACCCCTTTCTTTCACCCCCTCCACCCCTCCACTCTTTGCTCCTCAGTGAAAGCATTAAGAAATTATTCACAGTGATTTTTTTTTTTCTTTCCCTCCCCGAGCCCGGGCTTGAGTGCTCGGCTGATTTGTGAGGAGCACCAAGGTCAGCCGCTGTGGCTGCTGCTACGAGCACATCGCTCCCATTACCTCTTTCATGCATCCACGGAGGGAAAATGGCCAGCGTGCTCCCATGGCCTGGAGAAACGTGCACGGCCGTTAAACCCATTCCAGTTGTTTGCTTGTCATTGGGACTTGTTTTCTGTCACACTGGCCACAGCAGCACTTTGGTCGCTCAGTGTTTGCAGCACTTCAGCTCCTCAGAAGATGCGGAGGATGAGTTCCCAGATGAGTGTGTGCTACAGGTTTCCACCCGTTTGTTTGCTTCATGCATTTCCACCAAACACGTGAGAAAGAGCTTTTATCTGACCTTCAGGGAATATTTATTATGCATCATATCGCATATTCAGGGGACTTATTTCTATAAGTTTGTGCCGTGGTCCTTATAGAAAGATGGACGACACGTCTCCACGTCCTCCCACTGCACAAAAACAAAGCCAAAATACTAATGCAGCAAATATCCAACGATGTGTTTGGTCAAACGAGGGAAAAGTGACATGTGATATCTGCAACATACGAGGTCTCAGATGTTATTAGAGGGGAGATCAGTGAGGTCAGCCTGTCATGTTTAATTAAGAGGAGTGAGAGGATGCAGAGAGACTGACCCTGGACACTGGATGTTGGGTCATGTAACTCGAGTGTCTCTCCCTCGTACAGTTTGAGATTACGTTTCATTTAGATTGGCACCAGAAGCATTTTCTTACAGTAAGTAACGCAATGATAAAAGCTTTATTCCCCAGATCCTGGTCATTACAAGTAACCGGTTTATGTTGTGGGATGTGCAGCGTCTCGTCTGGGTGTCGGGAAACGCTGAGGGGGTCGGGGGGAGACGATGAACAGAACAGGAAACGTTTTCGTTGGGTTTATTTTGATGTGAATTAATGGATCGTTTTTACTTAAAAATCTTCAGATCAACCAGATAATTAAAGGCGTAAACTTGACATGACTTGTTTTAAATCACGGACATTCTTCTGGGAACATTTTCGTTTTCAGTGCTTCTGTGTTACAGATTAATTTCTAGATGGTCGGACTAATATTCAGTCCTGATAATACATAATAAATTATAATGAAAAACAAGGAATCGAAGTTGGAGCTGCTGTATAGTTTTCCAATTAGTTAAGCTCATTTTATTATGTAGCTGTAACTCGACTTTAATATAGTTTCTGCGATTTGATACCAAGATTAAGTGATGTTGCATTTGTGTACTGGGAAAAAAAAATATTACCCTTCTACATGATTGATTTTTGCTGATCTTATCGGTCACCTTTCCAATATTGTGCAGAGATATGATCAGCAGACTGACTGAGCAGGGCTTCACTCTCTGATTGCTTTTTATACAGTATATTACCTCAACTTAGTCAAATAGTACCTCCACGATTCAAGTCAATAAATTCTAAGAGCCTGTCCAAATGCAGATAATCTATAGTTGTGGGTAGTTCATGCTATTAAACCAAAGATGCTGAAGGCGCCATATGTCCGTACATAACCATGACCGCAGCGCTCGGCCCGTCCCCTGTGGGAAGGTGGATGCAGGACACACAGTGTAATGTACAGTATGTATGCATGACGGTGAGCTGAAGCAGGAGGGGGGGGATGGGTGCCAGTGTGCAAAACATGGCCTGGCGGGCTATTAGCCGTGGCCCGACTGGGACACGAAGCGCGGTGTGGAGACGATTACCTGACAATGACAAGACGAGTGGCCCGTCCGGCCGCCGTACATCACGTGGACAGGCCCCGGCTGTACTGCTTGCATTTGCGGCCCCATTAGGGAATCAGCACTCGGTCATATTTCTTAGATCGGGGCCGAGAAGATCAATGAAACGAGACGGACCTGCTGCCAGCGGGCCACTTGTGTCTGAGTGGGGCCATCGCATCTCTGCTCGCCCATCCCGAGGCAGACATGGTCAGAGCTTTGCCTCAGCACTTTGCCTGAGGGTCGAGTGTGCGAGAACTGATGATGAGTCACTCCCACGAGTTGCGCATCGATCGCTCGGGTGCGTCGTTACGTCGGCTGTCTGCTCGTCTGCTCTGCTTATTTGCAAATGGAAAAGATTACCTTCCTGCTGTCGAATCGGTTGTCGCGGTGTCAAAGGAAAGAAATGAAGCGGATAACGAGGGTTCAGAAGTTTCAGAGTCTGTGAATTGGGCAGATACATCGTGTATTCTCTTACAAATCAGTTTTGGTTTGCTGGAGATAACATTTTCCTCCGGCTGACGTGGGAAAGTGAATTTATTTCAGATAGAGCAGTGTGTGTGTGTGTGTGTGTGTGTGTGTGTGTGTGTGTTAGTGTGTGTGTGTGTGTGTCAGTGTGTGTGTGTGTGTGTGGTACCTATTAAAATTCCACATGAAAGGCCACACACTGCACCACCATCACAATCTGCTCGGCCCCTTTGTGCCATTTGCACATTTACCTCAAGAGATTAGCCGTTTGTTTAAAAAAGCAAATCTCTGGAGGAGAGCGAGTGTGAGGAGACATGAGCAAAATTTAAAGACTCAGTATCAGTTTAAATTCTTCGATACTGAGGCCGGGGCAAAAGCTGGTACGTCTTCAATTTAAGAAATA